ATACTTAAATGGAAAAAAATGGTTTAAGAACAGATAGTGTAAAAATACGCCTCTAGAAAATTTGAAAAGCATTCAAAGTTTTTTAGAAAGGTAAACATAAGGAAAGGCCTCAAGACAAATGTTTCGTCTTAGACGAAACATGCTAACGATGGTATTTATTGGTTATATTTGCTTTTTACCAAAAAATATTTCTTTTGCAAATTTGAAGAATTTGAAAAAAAATAGAAAATATTTTTTTTGAAATAAGCATTGGGGGTGAAGCAATTATTCCTATTTATGATCCTCCTCACAGAATATATTTTTAAATTCCAAAATTTTTAAATTTTTAACTTTCCAGAATATATTTTTAAATACAACTTATAATTTAAGTGGATAAAAGATAAGGAAGAAGTAGCTAAATGGAGCACATTACACATTTGTACAATATTAAATCTGAGGAAGATGACTATAAATTATGCAAAAAACTTACGGTACATCATATTGAGAACACTAAAAAGATGAAAGTTGCAGTGGCTGTCCAGGTCCCCAGTAGTAATATTGCAGCTGTAATGAGAAGCTTGGCTATTAGAAACCACAACAATAGTCCATTAGCTTACCAAGAGAAGCTGAAAGTGCAGCGGAATTCATATTATTTATGGATAAAGTATTCGACAGCGTCAATGGATCTAGGATTAATGTAATACTAGGTAATGTAAGGTTTTGGTCGGAGGCTATCCGCGTTTTTAAAACTATGCATTTTTTAATGATAGAAATAGGAAAATTGTACCTCCTTTAAAAAATTGGATTCGTTCCCTAGAAGGGATTTCATACGTATGGAATCAATTTAACAAGGATAGAATTCAATTTTTGTTCCTATGAAACCCCAACCAGGGCCCCTTGGAAAACCTTTTTGAGTCGATCCGAAGTCATGGGGTACGAAATGTCAATCCTAATGCCAGATCGTTTATCAGTTCTTTGAAGTCGCTAATAATAATTATTAGCGACGATTATAAAATGGTTTGTTAAGAAATTATTAATTATTAATAATTTCTTAACAAACCATTCAAAGTTAGCTAATTGAGAAAATGATAATTTACAAGCTCTAGATGACTTGAAGCACATGTTATCTTCTAAAACGTCATCATGTACACAGAACACTCAATTTCCAGAAATTTCAGTTCCTGACTATAAGCCGGAATACGAATCATTACTTAGAAGAGGAAAGTTTATATATATAGCAGGATTCGTTGATGGTACAAGTAAAATTGTACCATCAGTGCAAAAAAGACTTGGTTGGGGATGACAGGCGTGAAGCAGAATATTTTTGCAATTGAGGGTAGAGCATAATATTCTGCCAGCGCTTTGCTGGCACCTTCGATTGGGTAATTTAAATCTTTTTTTTTTCGGATAGGTATTTTTACATTACGAATTGTAATACCGCAAATATGCCATAAGGCTAATATAACAATGCTATTAAAAGCTATATTACAGAATGTATGTAAACAAGATATATTTATTTGCAACATAATTTACAAAAATAATTATCAATTATACAATAAAATTTCATTTATTTGTGGGGTTAAAAAATGTTAGGGGAAGGTTGCCAATATCGTACCGACTCCTAAATCGCGCGCGCGCGTACCTTTGAATTTTCTTCTCAATGGTGACTCTTAGCGCCATCTCGGTAATTGCCTTACAAACTACTTCGCCAACAACCAATAACAAAACAATAGTGCTCGCTTTGAAGTTAGCGTCAGTTGAAATACAGTAGAAAGAATATTTATATGTTTTTGGATGTTATTTTTCCACCTCAAATGTAAGTATCCTCATATTTTGCTATTAAGATATTAATAAACCGTTATATTTCGTTTAAAAAAAACATAGTTTTGGCTGTTTAAGAATATGCATGTTCGGTTTTTTCTCTTAAGGTTAAGATACAAATTTTAGGTTAGAAAAATAAATTTACCAGTTTCCTCTATATCGTACCGCTGCTATGATCCCTATTTTTCGAACTGTGTACCGCTGCTATGACTCCATTTTTCGAACATAAAAAAATATTATATTTTCAGATGGAACAAATATAGAAAAAAAAGACAATATTTCACATGGACAGAACGGGACATGCAGGCTGCCCTCACTGCTTTCCCAGAACAGGAACTCGGTTTCAACGAGTGTTGTCGTAGGTATAAAATCCAACCTTCCATTTAAACAAAAAAGTTAATGATGCCAAACAAAAGAAAGATAGCAGAGCTATTTTCGACGAAAAAGTTGAAGCCGATTTAAAAAAAAAACATATTATTGCAATGGAGGAACATCTGTTTGGATTATCATCAACTGGGGTTCGACAACTAGCACATGAGCTTGCAGCTAAAAATAAAATCAAACACAATTTTAACCACGCAACAAAAATGGCTGGCAAGAAATGGTATTATGGTTTTTTAAGAAGAAATCCTGACCTATCTTTGCGGAAGCCAGAAGCCACATCAATGAATCATCAATGAATCTAGAGTCAAGGGCTTCAACTGAAAAAATGTGTATGACTTTTTTGACCTGTATATATGGGACGTGGGCGAGTAAGTAAGTTTATTTACTTATTATTTTCAAGTGGAAGTCATTTTTGGATGTTTGACTTATTATTTTCAAGTGTACGTAAGTTGGGCTTGTGTTTTATGTTGTTTCTGCTTTGTTATATTAGTATTGAAATAAAGTTTCGTTATGTCGAGTAATAAATAGCAGCACTGACTTGGATTATAATCCCGTAAATGACAGCGCATCTGATGAAGAAGATGAATTTTCCTATAATTCAAGTGAAAGTGACGTGGAAGCTGAAAACGTCAGTTTTGAAGACTGGGTGTTAGTCCCACATCCAGAGGATGATAAACGGCTGACCGATGTGTTACAACCGACATCACAGTGGCTCTTGCATATGTTAAAGAGCGGCCATAAGTGATTTTGGGAAAATTAAGCTATATGGCATACTGTTAAACTTTTTGAATAGTAGTAGCATTGGTTTAAAAAAAAACAACAATTTTTTTTTAATAAAATTTGTAACCATGTTTTTTTTCTCTTAAACCCGTCACATTAATTGTCTTTTTCGCTTAGTGATAGCAAATAAGAATCTAAATATTCGTGGAGGCTTTAAAAACCCGAGATGATTATTATTTTTTACATTTTAAAGAAAAGGTTTTCTCTACTTTTGGACTATTACTAAGAAAGTTCTGAAATTATTATAATGTATTAATTTTTCATGTTTTTTTAAACGTCATTTTTATCCATATTTTTATAGTTTTCAAAATACCAAAAAAATACTATCGACGCTTATCGACGTTTCCTCTTATCGCAAATAATATTGTTTGAGGAATGTATTTGTTTATAAACAAAAAATGGTCTGCCGAATTCTGCCTATTCATGCAATATTTGAAATAGTCCGTGTTTCTCAATAGACCGCAACACAATTTTAAGTTACGTTTTTTCAGAAAAGACAATAGTCGAAAATGTTCACGGTATGCCACAAATCAAGATGTTTTTAATTGTCTCCTGATATCCTCTGACCCTTATTTGGCTGCATTTCGGCATATGTGGAAGAAAAGTGAATATTTAGAGCTGGATGATGAAGCCAAAGAACTCCTTTTATAGAACATATTATTGAGTTAGTTGAGAATATGTTTTCTTACATAAATATTATTTTCTACTTTTACGTTCAGAGTTGTAATGGTGGTTTAGTTTTTTTGTTTTGGAAAATATATATTTTTTTAATTTTATACTTCTGGTTTATTTTAGTATTGTTTAAAGTTTCTTTTAAGTATGGAAATCACTTGATTAACAACACACATTTAAGTTATAAATACTTCTTCGTCTGCACGTATATAGTTTTTGGATCCCATTGTTAAATTAGTATCTCGTTATTTTATTTTTTCACGGGGGAACTTGAATTTTTTTATTAAGAAAGGTCTAAACAAACAGCTAGTGATAAAAGAAATTATTTTTAAAGAATTTATAAACTTATCTCTTTCACCTTTCACTTGCTCACCCAATCCAAACATTTCCCGAAACCCACCCCCACGTTCACTCTTTAAAGGAGGGGGCGTGGGGCTGCTAATGTAAGAGAAACATTTTTTGGAGTTCAACAGAAATCATTACTAAGCGGTAAATCTACAGGTGTGTACCTTTACCGATATTATTAAGTGACACGCTTTACAAAAAAAATATTTTTGCCGTCATAATTAAACCGGCGTTTTGCTAAAATTCAATTAAAATTATAGAAAAATCTATAGATATTTTTCTTTTCGCCATAAATAAAGCAGCTGGGCTACAAATTACTGATTAAAGTATTTTTTTTCTATTTATGACCGCTATATCCCTATACCTCGATCCACTGTGCGACACTCCAGTATGAGCCGTAGTCCTGGAAGAAGTGACGTCTCCAGTAAAATGTTTCGAGACATTTGTTAGTGAAAAAATTGTTACTTTTTTATGCCAGTGGACTAATGAACCTGCGGCAAAATATTTTCTTGAAAATTTAAATAAAAATATGAAAGTACACGGCTTACGTTGGCGTGATGTGACAATTAGTGAAATGTACGCATTCATTGCTCTGGTACTTATGCAAGGCCTGATCCATTTATTTCACCTTAGTGATTACTGGAGGAAAGACTTTCTTTTGGCTGCGCCTCAGGTTTTTTCCGCCACCATAATGAGTAGGGATAGATTCTTATCTATCATGAAATTTTTACGCTTTTCTGATCCTAAAGCCGCCGACTCATCTAGACCCCTAACCCGATTGGCAATGTTCTTCGTTTTTATAAAAGAAAATTCGGTAATTGCGATTGATTCAGGTGAGACTTTAGCACTCGACGAATGCCTTTTGTTGTACAAGGTTAGATTACATTTCAAACAGTGTATATCAAATCCAAAAGATCAAGATTTGGGATCAAACTGTTTGTTCTGTGCCCTAGTGATCCCAAATTTAGAGGTTACACCTACAATTTTGCATGTACATTCAAGGAACTAATGCGTTTTCAATGTCTAAAAGAGTGGTTGTGTATATGCTGTCGAACTTACTTGACGAAGGTACGGAAGTGATATTGGATAATTGGTACGTGTCAGTTAGGTTAGTTGTATTCTTGTTGACACGAAATACTTATGTGACAGCTACAATAAGAACCAACCGAGGAGTGCCGTCTGAACTCACACACATTCAGTTGGAAAAAGAACAGTCGTGTTTTATCAGAAAGGGAGATGGACTGATTGTGCGTTATAAAGACAAAAAAGACATTTATGTGATAACATCTAAACTGACCGGTAATTTCGTCCAGAAAGACCAGTATTCCGTTGCCCATAAACGCATTGTAGTGATTGTAGTGTTGCAAAAGCCAAGTCATGTGGATCATTATAATTTAAATATGGGTGCCGTTAATGCAACGGATCAGGACCTGGAGTCATACAATGCAGCAAGGAAGACCTACGCTTGGTTCAAGAAAGTTGGGATCTACGTGTTACAAAGGGTGGTAACGCCTTATAAAAACGAGATGGAGGCCAGGAAATCTGCGATTGGCGAGAAGCAACAACAAAAAGTCAAAAGAAAAATAGGACAAACAGGAAAGGCCAGCAAGCCTGTAATAAGGATGTAACAGAAATAGACGAAGAAGAATGGTTGTGTTTCTTTTGTGGAGAGTGCAAAGTTGAAAATATGATAAAGTGTGATGTGTGTAATCTTTGTGTACATGAACTTTGTGCTATATTCAAAATTACATATCCTTTTTTTGTGACAAATGTATTTAGACTATTCCAAATGTTGTGTTCAAAGCTTGTTAATTATTTTATTCTGGTACAGAATAATCTTTAAATTATTTTTTGTGTTTTGAATTTTTTAAATATGTTTATATAAATATGTATAAGAAATAAATTTGTTTCCTATTATATCTACTATACTATTTTGTTTTTTTTTTGAATTACTTCAAAGATATGATTAGGCGTAAAGCTATTTCATTAAGTACGATTTAGGAAACCTAGCGGTACGACTTACTTTTTTAGAAAAATATTCCAGTGATAACCCATATGCACGTCCCTGGTGAATATGGCGACACTTTTTTAGCCTTAAAATATGTCGCAGTTATAGTAACTTTTACCCTCAAAATTTCATTCAAATCGCTAAAAGCACTTGGAAGGAAAGTATAATAAATCGAAAAAATATTAAGACTTTAACACCCTGTAGCTAGGAAACACAGCAGAATCGGACCTATGTTGATATGAAAGAAATCTTATTTTTACGTGATGGATCTCCCCACGAGAAATGGCACATGTTTTTTGAAACACCCTGCATAAATGAAAGTGTTTATTTTCCGTAAAAAGATTAAAACAACTTTCTTAGTGATTCTAAAGTCTACCCAGTGAGTCAAAGAAGATTTCGACATTAAAAAATGACAATTTACGTGTGCATTAAAATGACAAACAGAACTGCCGTTGTCATGTATGCTCTCACTGGATAGACTGTATAGTTCTTGTTGCGTATATTTTCCCGATATGAAAAGAATTGTAAAATTTCACTTAGTATAGAATCCAACGGAAACGAGATTTTTAGAAGCTCTCGTAAAAACTAATTTGTCTAACCAAACAAAAAACAATTGTATTTTAGTGGGTTTATCCCGCCCGTCGTCAATGAAGTAAATTAAAGAGAAAAATGTAAAAAAATATTTCGAAGTCAAAGCTTAGTAAGCTTGTAAGTACATTTCAAGTAATGAACCCGCCACAGAGGAAATGAGATTATTAAAAATATCTAAATCTCGCGTAGTACTTGCTCTATCAATTTTACTATTTTATCACTATTTTTTTTACTATATGTATGTATTTACACTATCAAAATAAACTCACTGTATATGACAAATAATCTTGCTTATTGATTGGTACTTTATTATACATTATTTTTTTACAATCAATCTATATTACTTGCATTACCAATAAAAAGTAAACGTATTGTTTCTTTTTCAGGAAATGCTGCCTTAGTGGATCTTTCACTGTCCGATCTTAAGAATAAGTTCATCTGTACAATTAAAGAAGAGGAAGATATGTTAAGACGATTGTCGACTTGGGCAATTCCTTTTAACTATCATAATATGATAGATGAACAGACAACGAAGTGTGCTGAATCTCTTAAAAACTACAGCCTAACGAAACTCTTATCTCCTTAAGAAACCTATACAAAAACAAAGATTTTCTAAACTATAAATTAAAAAAGCAATTATGTGAGGCTCTTGTATTATCACAGTCCAATTATTGTAATTTTGTTTACGGGCCTTGTCTCGATCAAAAATCTAAGAGACAGTTACAGAAAGTACAGAATTCATGTATTCGCTTAATATACGGATTGAGACCATGTTACATATAAACTAGATATGTTGAATTGGCTAAATATTGAAGACAGACAAAGTTACATTTTGCATGTTTTTTACACAGAATTTTGCGGAATGGTTTTCCTGAGTATTTAACTAATAAACTTAAATTTCGATACTCTAACTATGCTATAAGGCAGTGTAATAATATGGAAATTCCCAAACATCGCACGGCGCTATATCAGCGTTCTTTCTCCTACCTGGCAACCAAGATGTACAATTCCAACTTGAATCTATACTCCCTTGATTTAAAGACGTTCACTTTCAAAACAAAAATTAAAAACTTATATGTTGAGCGGATATAGAATTACACAATAATTTGATTTATTAATTTTTGTATCCTTTACGGAACAATTTTCATTTTTTACTGTTTTTGCTTTAACTTATTAAGTTGTTGATTTTTCCTTATCTAAAGTATATTGTTAATTTTCATTTTTCTTACTAATTCTTTTTTCTTTGAATGTTATTTTTTAAGAATGTATTATATTATTTACTTTTTTTATATGCTCGGTTAACTTAACAGCTCTGCTGAATTTCGCCGAGTAAAAAATAAAGACGTTATTTATTTATTATTTATTTATTTAACAGAACAATATGATCAAGAACAATATGTGGAACAGCCATCGACATCAACAGGCATATTCCATTCTGAAGTTAGATATCTAACACCAACCGAATTTAATACTCCACCAAAGAAGAGGCAGCATATATGGGATCTGATAAGGACAGTGAATGTTTAAATATGGAAACAACTGAGAGAGAATCACAATTAGCAGATACCCCTAGGAAAAGAGTACTACGACGAAAATTAATTTACGCTAAGCGACAATTGAATCGAGTTACGACAAGTTTAAGAACGAAGTCTTACTTGACATAGCCTAAAAAGCTCAAGCAATTGTCCCAATTTAGTAGGGCAATGGTCACTATGCAATATACCATAAGAAAAAAACAGCCTGGACCATTGAAGAAAAAAAAGTTTCTCTTGCTTTGTTTTATAAGTCTACAACTGCTTATAAATTCATGGGATCAAAAGGTTGTATATTGACGTACTCTTGATGTACTCAAGGCAATGGTCACTATGCAATATACCATAAGAAACAACCTGGACCATTGAAGAAAAAAAAGTTTCTCTTGCTTTGTTTTATAAGTCTACAACTGCTTATAAATTCATGGGATCAAAAGGTTGTATATTGACGTACTCTTGATGTACTCAAGGCAATGGTCACTATGCAATATACCATAAGAAACAACCTGGACCATTGAAGAAAAAAAAGTTTCTCTTGCTTTGTTTTATAAGTCTACAACTGCTTATAAATTCATGAGATCAAAAGGTTGTATATTGACGTACTCTTGATGTACTCCAACAACCATTGCAACCCGGATTAAGAGCTTCAGGTACAATCCTGGTCATAACAAATATATTTTTAATTTATCGAAGATAAAGGTGAAGGCTATGACAAAAAAATCAAGAGAATGCACTTTCATTTTTGATGAAATGGCAATAAAAAAATGTTTGGAGTTCTCTAACAATAAAGATCTTATTGAGGGATTTGAAGATTTTGGCGAGTCTGAACGTTGTGTAGTGTTAGCGAAAGAACTACTGGTAGTAATGATAAAGGGGCTATATTCAGACGGGAAAGTTTCCTTATCATTTTACTTCAGTGAAAATGGCGCCAAAGCTGAACAACTCGAAGCTATTATTAAAAAGAACCTTCATGAATTAAGCAAAATTGGCATTATTCCGACTGCAGTAATTTGTGATCAAAGTACAAGCAATCAAAAGTTATTTAAAAGACTGAATATTTCAGTAGAACAACCATTTTTTTTCATAATGAAATTAAATATTTTGCCTTGTATACTGCATCCCACATCTTAAAATGCCTTAGGAATAATTTGCTAAATGGCTATTTTATGATAGATAATAAAATTATTAGTATAAAAGATATAAAATCACTTTATGATTTAGATAAAAGCCCTTTGGTAAGAGCTATACCAAAACTTACAGATAGTAATTTAAACCCTACTCCATTTCAAAAAATGAATGTAAAATTAGCTGCCCAATTATTTAGCCATAACGTGGCCGCTGCTCTTAAGACAGCCGTTGATTTTGGGGAAATAAAATCTGACTGCAAGATATACAGCTGATTTTGTGGAATTTCTTAATAATACATTTGACGCTTTAAACAGCAGAAATTTATCTGGACCAAAACAATATAGGACTCTCAGTAGTTCTGGACCAAACTAATAGGGCTCTCAATAGTTCAAATGAGGCCCCAATACAAATCATGGAAAAGGCGTTTAATATATTTAAAAAAATTGTTGAAGTAGACAATAAAGGTCAGTTTAAAATACCGCCTACCTTTGATTCTATATTAATAACTTAACGCTGTACCGCCCATCTTTCAGGAAAAGAAGAAGGAGGGATATCGTTTTTTATTAACGTCGCGTTTGAATCAAGATGTTCTTGAAAACCAATTTTCCATATACAGGGTGATTCAGATTTTCCTAGAATAACTGCAGGTATCGATAAAATTAACAGAAATAATGATAGTTTGTATTATAAACCATACTCAAAAAACGCTTCCGCTTGGAGTAAAATGGCGCTAAAATTTTAATTATTTTTCGGTTTTTATTATATTACTCGTAAGTCAGAGGATCTAAATACGCAAGTATTTGATTAAACGTTAAGGACAACTTTTTTTCTCCCTCCTTGCTTAAATGCCAATTTGTTTCATGATTTTCTGGAAAACTTTCTTCCTAAAGTTCTTGAATACGTTCCATTAAATTTACGTGAAGAAAATTGGATGCAATTAGACGGTGCTCCTCCTGCACTCTCTGGACGCCAAATGTGACAGTGGCTAGACAAAAATTATCCTCGTCGATGGATAGGACGTCTACGCGACAACCGTCAGAATTTAATTCTCGGTGAGGGGCCAGTGGCTTGGCCTGCGCGTTCACCGGACCTAAATCCCCTCGATTATTATGTTTGGGGTCATGTTAAGGATATCGTTTATGCAACACCAATAAACACCCGCAATGAATTAATTGAAAAAATACAGAACGTCTGTAACACCTTAAGAAATAATCCCATTACAGTTGGAGCAGCGGTTAATACATTCATTCGTCGGTCCAATAAATGTACTGAGGCTGGAGGAATGCATTTCGAGCACTTATTGTAAGTTTGTTGTTGTGGTTTAAAAAATTTATTTTTATTGTTAAATGTTCGTCGTTTTTGTCATTATAAACATGTCAATTTTCAGTCTCATTTTGTTTTGAACCTTTTCCATGAGTCTTACTATGTACGGAATTTTGTGGAATATCTCGAAAACTAAGCGACATATCAAAAAAATTTAAGAACAAGAAAAGTTAGTAAAAAGATGGAAGGTATCAGAAAAAAATACAAATTTATCCAGTGGCGTGCGACAAAAAAGTTCTACAAGGTTCCGTGCAGTTGACACTCACAAAAACAACACCCTGTATAGCAATTAATCTAATTTTTTTTCACACATATCAGCCACGTTGCCCTTAGCATTTAACCAAACACTTGCGTACTTAGATCCTCTTTGCATTTGACAGATATTCATAGTGGGGTGACTGTATATGAGCATATTGATATTTGTATTTTGTTTATTTTGTTCATTACTATATATAGGTCGTTGAGGTTATGTCGAGAGTAAACAGGTTAAATAACAAAGTCCCAGAAAAATTAAAACAATACTGTAAAAAGTACTCGGTAACCTCATTGGATTGCATAAAGTGTGGATCAAGCACCATCCAAGCTGTGCGGCTCAGGTAAAAGTGCAAAATACAGATAACAAAGTTTTGTGTTGCCCAAAAGCAAAAAGTAAGGTTAGTGAGCAAGAAAATTTATCTAACGACGATGCCATGGACGAAAAAAGATATAGATAAAGTGTTTTAAAATACTTATTAAACGAGTATCTTACACCATTTAAAAAATATGTTCAAAGTGACTTGGTTGAAAACAAAAGATCGATTCAATTTATGTTGGATGGGTTTGACGAACAGAAAGAGAGCAGATATAAACTGTTAGATGAACTTAAGAGCCTTAAGGATCAAAATTAAATGCTATAACTGAAAGTACGAGAAATGGAAGGCAGAATATACTTCAGCGAACAGTAAGAAAAGGAAAAATTCTAATCGATATTTGGGAAAACCCAAACAGGCAGCTCAATCCCAAGGAAATCGTAAAGGGAGTGCTTATTTCATTGAAAACAAAAGTTGATGAGGATGAAATTTTGGAAACGTACTATGTATCCAAAAAAGAAAATGCACCTATTATGGCAAAATTTAAGAATAAAATAGCAAAGCAAAACGTGTAAATCAAAGTTAAACAGCGATTAGGAATAAAGTTAAATGAATGTAGATTGGAGAGAGATAACAAAAATATATTTCCAAAAAAGTCCTATGGGTTTTTCGCCACTATAAGAAAATCTACAAAATAAAATATAATTTTTTAATAATGATCTTACCAAAAAGAATTATTATATATTAAAAAAAAAACTAGAGAGCATAAGCATCAATAGAAATATAAGTCTAAGTATGGAAGGATCTATTTAACCTTTAAAATAAATAAATAATATAATAATAATTTTTAATACTAATATGATTATAATAATATAATATAAGATAGTCAGGCCAGACAGAGGAAAGTAACCGGGATAGGGTTCTTTACTGTGTCCGCTACGGTACCCAGGGCAAGCCGTACAGCCTGTGCCATACCCCGACGGGAGCGGGCTCCACTAATACAGACTATCTTCCCATACACCTATCCCCATACAGACACATAACACAAAACTTGACCCTAGACGGTCACAACTACTCCTTTGGCGGGCTCAGGCATGTAATGACCTCATGGAAAACAAAACTCCAAATAGGAAATTCTAATAACGGATACATCACAAATGAAGTAGAAATCAAGCGAGGAATCTTTCAAGGCGATAGTTTGAGTCCATTGTGGTTCTGCTTAGCCTTAAATCCCTTAAGTAACTTACTAAACTGCAGCCCATATGGATACCGAATCGCTGGAACACAAGGTGAAAAGCTGTCGCATTTGTTCTATATGGATGACCTCAAGTTATACGCCAGTAATAGTGAACAACTTAAAAGCGAACTTGAAATAGTTAAAAATTTTAGTAAGACTATAAAAATGGAATTCGGTCTAGAAAAATGCGCAGTTCTTAATGTAAAAAAGGGCAAGGTAGACAACAAAGGGGGAACATTACTATCCGATGGAACAACGATTGAGCATCTGAAAGAAGAAGAAAGTTATAAATATCTAGGATTCAAGCAAGCCCTAAATATTAAAACAGCAGAAATGAAAGATTACCTTAAAGCTAGACTTAAACAAAGACTCAAAGCATATTAAGTACACAGCTTAATGGAAGGAATGCCATAACAGCGATTAACTGCTGGGTTTTACCCATTATAACTGCATCCTTTGGAGTTCTCAAGTGGTCAAAAACAGATATGCAAACACTCGATCGCCTAATACGTACCACACTTACTGATTACCGAAGTCATCATCCAAAATCGTCGACATCGAGACTATATATATCTAGAATCAAGAGGGTAGAGGTCTACTTAACTTAGAAGACGCGTACGAAGTACAAATAAATAAACTAAGGCGGCACTTTAAAAAGCACCAACATTCCTTGTATCGGTGTATATCTCAAGTTGACAAACACTTTACAGCATTAAACTTATCGGAACCATCTGAAGACGATATCTCAACCAATGTAAATAAAAGACATGTTGACGAATGGCGATCTAAAGTATTGCACGGCAGATTTCATGCAGCTCTGACAGGAGACCAGGTAGATCATAAAAACACCGGAAAATATATGGCGAAGGGAATACTAGACCGCGAGACAGAAGGGTTTATTCATGCTATCCAGGACCAAGTAATTCCTACTCGGAACTATGCTAAACATATATTGAAACAAAACGTAACATCCGAATTGTGTCGAGTGTGCAATAAACAAATAGAGACAATACAACATATAAGTAGTGGCTGCAGCAGTATAGCTCCCAGGGAGTATCTGGACAGACATAACGACATACCAAAACTAATTCACAGTGAAATATGCCGCCTGAAAAAACTGAGTTCATCAACAACCCCTTATTACAAATATACTCCTCAGGCAATCGTTGAAAATGACAACTGGAAAATATACTGGGACACATCAATAATAACCGACAAAGAAATAACACACAACAAACCCGACATACTTCTTATTGATAAAAAACAAAAAATAGCACAACTGATAGATATAGCTGTACCACTTGATGATAATCTGGGAAAAACATATGCAGAAAAAAATAATAAGTATCAAGACCTAAGCTACGAATTAAAACGCGTGTACAAACTGAAGAAAGTTCAAATATTGCCGTTCATCATATCGTGCAACGGACTCATTGAAAGAAGATTCATGAACAACTTACAAACGCTGAATCTAAAGAACTCATTAGCAGGAATTGCACAAAAGGCAGCTATTCTGGGCACCTGTCATATAATTAGAAGAATTTAGTAAAGGATTAATAACCTTGGTCGATAAAACCCGGTTATACTCCTTAATTATCCCGACTTAGTCGCTAAAACCGGCTTTAAGCTGTGAAAAAAAAAAAAAATAATTATAATTATATTAATATTAAAATAACCTAACTGTACTTAACAACCCATGCCTTGACGCATATTCTTTTTTATAATAATATCTGCTTTCAGAGACTAAACATCCATATCCATAAAATAGTTGGCCCACACTAATAAAACCTCATTTCGGCCCTCGGACGACCTTGCTCTAGTCAGCTATCGACTTACGTGTTGACAAGTTGATTAGGCAGGTCATTGAACTCCGTCGCGTCTAGCATGTCGTTTTTTCAAAGATGGGTCCCATATAAACGCAGCCAGAAGTATTTTCAATACTAAAAATATTATGAATGGCTATGTTACAATAAACTAAGTGTAAATACTGAAAAAAAACAGTATACCTGGTGCGTCTCGAAAGTGGCTCACTCCTATAACTTTTTTATTTTTTTCTCCTCCTTTATTTTTTATTTTTTCAGATTAAAAAAACGTGATTTGGTTTATTATTGGCGTATTCAATTATTTTTGGTCACTTCCTGTTTTACCGGAAATGACTACAACTCTTCATCTTTAAATGATACCCTCTCATCCTTGATATTTTTTTACTTTATTCGATAGAAAAGGACACTCTGAATAGAATGACATATCATATGTCAACTTTTGACATTTTCGCTTTAACAAAAATCGTATTTTAAATGTCAATCTAGAGTGCCATGGCTGTTTAAGCCATGGCTGGTTGTTAAGTTTTATTCAAGGAGCCTTGAAAAAAATAGATTTGATCGTCTAATGTTTCTCGTGTCTTGTCCTGGCCAGTTAAAAGATGCCCAAATCATATTTTTAATCATATCTCAATTTTTTCAAAGGGAACAAGGGAGGTTCATTAGCATATTTGGAAAAGCATTTTTTACGAATAATTTGGTACCACACACTTGGTATTTCGAGTCAAATTGTCATTCATTCTATTGAGAGTGTCATTTTCTATCGAATAATGTAAAAACATACTGAGGGTGTCAATTGTAGTCATTTCCGATGAAACAGAAGTGACCAAAAACAATTGAATACGTCAATCAATCATAATTTATGTCATATACTAACATACCAAATCTCGTTTTTTTATCTGACAAAATAAAAAAGTTATAGGGGTGAGCCACATTTTTAATATGGCATTTTTGGAATGTAATTAATTGTATAAAAAATACACGAGAAAAAATTTATAGCCTTTAATTTAAAAACTAAAAGTATTTTTTTAACATATTTGAATCGCCCTGTATAACTATAAAGGAATATAATGTGCACTATTGTTGCCGGCATATTTTGTTAAAAAGATTGGACTGAAAATTTCAAATAAGAATGTGTTATTTAATAGTTATGAGCACTTGATCACCTTGTAAAGTTTTACAGATGTACTTATAATAATTAACAATAACAAAGTGGTTAAGTAGGTCTTAACCAGTAAATGTATTTTTTTAATATACTGCTACACATAGAAATCCTTACATTTAAGATACATAAATTGAAACAATTATACAAGAATGTACCATCCGTAATATTAAATATATTGGAGCAGTATATTTTAAATTGGTCATTTAATATTTAATAATTGTCGTCTAGAGATGAATCTGTTCAGAAGTATAACATAATTCTAAGGTGATTTGTATGAAAAATGTATCCCCGGTTCATCAAGGTATTCTTGGTAAGTAAATGGTTTAGAACATATTGTTTTACGACGGGTATATTTCAGTGGTTTATATATAAAATAATAACTGAAATATTATTTGTTTACATAAGTATATTTTAATGTGATTATACAGGGTAGTTCACCACATACGACACGGAGTATTGTAGCTAAACGATTAGATTTTTACAAATTGTTAGTTTTGGGTTCGTTGAAGGACTATTACAGCTACAATTTAAAAATATTTTTACAAGGTACAGAGTGTCCCAAATAAATAAAAAATATCAAAGTTGTATTTTTTTAAATGGAACACCCTATATATTATTACATTTTTAGAGTCTACGATTAAAATAAAGGTAAATTTGATTAAGGTTTATTACACTTAAACCTTACCGTTTTTTAAATATTTTCAATTTGGTAAATTGCAATAAATATTTTCAGGCTTCATTTCTCCGTGAGTATCAAAGTTTTTAATGGTAAATATTTACTGAAGTTTATTTATTGATCAGTTATTGTGTTGCAATAATAAAAATTATACCACCTTATACAGAGTGTCTAAAAATTTATTTTAAATAATTACTAGCTTTAAACGGCAACAATTTGTTTAATTTAAATGGAATACCCTGTATATTTTATGCTAATCAGATGCACAATTTAATTGTCTATCAAACTGTATTATACCATTTTTTAACTATCTCTTCAAGGTTCCGTAGAAAACATTTTCTTGTAATTTAGAACTCATTTATCAATATACCCATGGAATACTGACATTTTAGATTATTTTTAAAGATGTACCAAGTTTTTAAAGAGTACAGACACTAATATTGTCGATATAGTTCGATTATTTCATTAAAAAACTAAAAAAAAACTGTTTAAATATTTGTTAAAGAGGACCAATTAATATGATTCCAGTATTCAATCTACATTAATTGACTGTTTGCGTTGATTAATAATAATTGCTCCAAAACCCTAAAAAAATAATTTTGTATGTGTATTAGACAGTGTGGTAAAAAGTAACACCTTCAAAATGATATTTCATTTTGACAAATGTTTATTTATAACAACAGAGATGTTCATTTTCATAACTTATTATTTTATATTGATTTCTGATTCAAATCCACATTTATTAAGAATAATTTATTAATTAACACAATTAAGTATGTAATTAATGGTATACTCTTTTATAGAGATTTAAATAGTTTTTTTTTACATACAAATGGGCTAGTAATATTATCGTTTTGCTAAAAACGATATTATTAGCCTGTACATTTTGTATATTTCCTGCTTTAACAACAATCTAAAATGTCAATATTCCATGGGTATAAAATAAATGAGGTCTAAATTATAAGAAAATGCATTTTCTAAGAAAACTTGAAGGAATAGGTAAAAAGCGTAACACAATTCGACAGACAATTAAATTGTGCATCTGATTCTCCTAAAATATACAGGGCATTCCATTTAAATTAAACAAGTTATTGCCCTTTAAAGCTAGAAATTATTTAAAATAAATTTGTAGACACTCTGTATGAGGTAGTATTATTTTTATTAGTGCAACACAATAACTGATTAATAAATAAACTTCAGTAAATATTTAGTATTAAATACTTTGATACCCTCGGAGAAATGAAGCCTTAAAATTTTTACTGCAATTTTACAAAATTGAAAATATTTCAAAAACGGTAAGGTTTAAGAGTAATAAACTTTAATCAAATTTACCTTTATTTTGATTGTAGAAACTAAAAATGTAATAATATACAGGGTGTTCCATTTAAAAAAATACAACTTTAATATTTTTTATTTATTTGGGACACTCTGTATCTTGTAAAAATATTTTTAAATTGTAGCTCTAATAGTCCTTCAACGAACCCAAAACTTACAATTTTTAAAAATCTAATCGTTTAGCTACAATACTCCGTGTCGTATGTGGTGAACAACCCTGTATACATAATTATGATTATATTTGCATAAGTTTTCTTGAACCATTTCTTAACTATAAAAAAAAGTTTTTTTATAATTAACAAACTTTTTTATAATTATGATTATATACATAAGTATATAATCTGCAATATTTTTATATCAAAAATGTAGTTTTTAAATGGAAAACTATATTGTTTGACTTAGTGGATATGTAATAATAAAGTTTCTCTATTCCAAAATTATTTTTGTACCAAAATTATAAAATAAAAAATGCTATTTTTTAATTGGAAATTATTAACAGCACTAAGAAATGCTATTTTTTATTTCAAAACTAATTCTAAAATTGTCTTTATTTCCCGGTATATTCAAAGTGATGCAAAACTGTTTGTGGTTTATTTATTATACAAGGTGTCCCAGAAATAAGTGCAAGTATTTTAACTGGTAGTATAGTTCGACCACTGAAACACGCCCACGAGGTTTTTTCGCGAAAACATTTTTTTGAAAATTTGAATTTTTTTTTATTTTTTAGCTAAAAAACATAATTTCTTGATAATATGGCAACATAGGTATTAGATTAAATTTACAAAAAAAACAGAAAAGAACCAGTGGTTCTCAAAATTTTAGCAAAAAAATCTTTTTTTTGAAATTTTCAAAGTAAAATAACTCTGTTATTTCGGACTTATTTGAAAAACGATAAAGAGAAAATATGTTTCTTTTATCGAGATCTACCACTCCTTAAAATACTTGCACTTATTTCTGGGACACCCTGTATAAATTATTTCCAAATCGTCAATTCTTTTCACCAACTGGTAGTAGGTGCCATTAAAAATAAAGACGAGTATGAACTAAGTAATGACGTATAGGGCTTGAACTCGCCAAAATTATCATCGATTGTCGTTCCACAGCCGCTCGTGACGCCGTTTTTTTAGCTCAGGGACGTGCATATCGGTTATCACTGGAATATTTTTCAAAAAAAAACATGTGCGCTACTGACTTTTTTCTTTTGATATCAAAATCGTGTAGGCCGTTTAATGCCAATTAAAAGTTATCTCTTGATATTTTGTCGAATTCGGCCTCCTTGATGAAATAAAGGCAATTTTATTAATCACAATTAATAAAATTAAAATAAAAATAATATTAATAAATTATATATTTTACCTAATTTATTATTAAATATTATTCCAATTAGTTATTATTACTATTAGTCCAACGTACAGCAATTTAAAAAAATAATGGTATTTAAGATAATTACAAAAAAACTAATTTTAAAAATGTTTTGATATCCCAATGATATCCCTAAAACTATGCATTTCCATGCCCATGTTTATAGGAACTTTTTTTCATATTTCTTGATGAAGAATCAATGAGTACTTATTTAAAACTTTCGCAAGTTAATGATATTATTTTTTTTTAAGTTGCTATTAAATTTGGACCAAGGCAAATTAATAAAATTAAAAGGAGGCCGAAATCGACAAAATATCAAGAGACAACTTTTAACCGGCATTAAACTGCTTACACTATTTCGCTAACAAGAGAAAAAAAAGTCAGTGGCGTACATGCTTTTTTTTAGAAAAATATTCCAGTGATAACCCATATGCACGTCCCTGGTGAATATGTCAACACTTTTTATTTTTAAACTATGTTGTATTTATAATAACTTTTACCCTCAAAATTTCATTCGAAACGCTAAAAGTACTTGGAAAAAAAATTATAATAAATGGAAAAAATATTAAGACTTCAACACCCTATAGCTACGAAAAAAGCAGAATTGGACCTATGTTGACATGAAAAATAAATCTTATTTTTACGTGAGGAATCTCCCCACGAGAGATAGCACATGTTTTTTGGAACACCCTGTATATTAAATCGCTGTTTATTCACTTACATAATATTAATTATACAATGATAGTTTTTAATAGTTTTTTCTCTCTCTTTCATGAGCATTAAAATTTTATTTTAAAATTAACACAATGTCTTCAATGTTGATTAATGGTACAAAATACAATGTGTTCCATTTGAAATATCACCGAAAAGCAGTTATCTAGATTTAATTCACCTTGTATATCAGGTAATTTAGCCTATTCTAGTATGATTAGTTTTGAAGAAAATACATAGAACATAAAATAATTCCAGTTAAAAATAATCAATTATATTTTTATTATAATTTTCAGAGAACCTGAAATAAGTAATGTTATGTTTCACAAACCACTCGGTATAGATTATGACATTAGGATAAAGTATTTTTGAAATTATATTTTTTTCCATTACGCAATCCACTACGTAAAAAAATGCAGAATTCCATTTAAAAAATTATTAATTTTACACACAACTTTAATTTAAAATATTTAATTTAAAATTAATTTTTTTAACAACTTTAATTTAAAATATAGAATTGAGCGTCCGGATTGCACAACGACCTTAGCGCGTGGCCGCGGGCAGCCCTGTAGACAAGCGAGACAGCGACGCGCCGATTTAACAAAATAAATCATTTTAAACCTGCCGTCATTTCGTTAATAATTATCGTAGCGTGTTGATTTTTGAATAGAAATACTCATGAGTCTTTAGCGCTTCCGACAAGCCTAAATAACTGGATTAATTTTTATATTTTCGATTTGTTTACATTGTCCGAGCATATTATAACTTTGAGATAAAAATCTCTGTTATAAATTTTAAAACTGACAGATATGAATACTATCATTTAATTAGTTATACATTTAGTTACACATATTCAAAATTTAGGTCTATCGGTTTATGCTAGCAGTAATAACGAGTATAAATAAAAAGATGGTCAGTACAACGCTCGCCGTTTTTAGCGCACGTTCAGCTTTGGTTTTAGTTTTAGCGCTATTTTTACAGAAAATAAATTCTGAACTTTGATCAAATGACAAGAACATTATCATTGCCGTTATCTCCTGGATATAATGTAGTTCTTTTTTCAAAATATTCCATTGTTTTAGCTTAAAGAAACTTGAATTATGCGGCTTTTTTTGCGAGAGCTACCGGAGCTGCGTTAATAAAGATATGGCTGTGTACGTTAATCATAGCCACAATAGACTGTAATTTTACCTCGTCACGAGATTTTTTGGAAATATTGCACTTCC